ATTACAGTGCATGCACATATATCAAGCCCCGTATGTCGCATGATGTGTTCTGCATACAAGTTGAATAGGTCAGGTGAGAGTAGCCAGCCCTGCCATACTCCTTTCCCAATCTTGAACCAGTCGGTTGTTCCATTACTGTTCTTACTGTTGCTACTTGATTGTTATACAGATTCCTCAGGAGACAGACAATAAACTATAAAGTATCTGAAAACATTGAACATGTTTTTGGCTTTCTTACTAGGTGTTACTTGTTTATCCATTTTATTATTGTTTGCATCATTAAAATCTCCAAATCCATGTCTCCACTTTCATATTCTTACTGAGATTGTAATCACTCTTCATAAATTTTGGCTGTTTATATGTCTTTTATGAATATGACTTGCAGAATTGAGTGTCTAACCTCAATTGCCCTTTGCAAGTGTTTGTCCCACCTTCCAGCTTGTGCACAGTGTTCTGACATTATTGCACCATCTCCATTAGTTTGTGAAATTTGAATCATTACATCTTAAATGATTCGTGCCTGCTTTTGTCCTTAATATAGAAAACATTTCAGGCAATACTTGAAAATATAGTGTTGAAATTCCCATTACTTAAATAATTGAAAGCGGAGTGCCCTAGTGTGACCCAATGCAAGAAACAGAAAACATGATTTGTTCATATATTACTTTCAAAATCACGAAAAGCACAAGTTGTGGAGGGGGGAGAGGCAAGCTGAGGTTATTTTGAGGTTCTGAAACCTCAATACTGCAAATCTCACAAAAAGAGAGGTTGGTGAGGCTACTTCAGAATAAAAATTCTGAAGAGCTAAGTCTTATTCGGGTTTGGTGGTTAATCTTCCATATCAAAAAGCCAGTGTTTTGCAAACAGCTTAGTGGGGATGATGGCGACAAATATGTGAAAGGGAACAGGATTCTGACTATATGGGAATGTTGGGAAGAGAACGAGTTTTGTGTGCCCTCTACATTCATAGGTACATGGTGAGATATTATTGTTATGGTGGTGTCGGTCTCTCATCCAGAGTTTTTTTTTTTGAACAGCCAGTCCAGTCCAGTCCACCCTCATGTGGATAGTCTGCATTTTGAATGACAGATGCAAGCAAGAATTCACTAGATGTAGTTCAGACTTCTGTTTCCATATACCTTTAGTTTCAGATGGTTTCAGAAAATTACATCACCCACATATTCAGCTGATATATATATGAAGAACTGCATAGAATAGATTGTTGAGTCCTCCTGATATGCCAGTATGTAGAGTATTTGTGTACTACACAGGCTTTCCTCCTAAAGATGACTATGCTGCATGGGTGAATACCTGGTGGAGTGGCAAAACTAGTTCGCACAGTACCGGCCCAGTTTACCTGTCCAAACGGATCCCCCCCTATGAAACATCTCGGAGTTTAAGATCATTGGAGGAGGCCCTGCTCTCGGTCCTACCTCCTTCACAGGTGCGATTGGCAAGGACAAAAGACAGGGCCTTCTCAGTGGTGGCCCCTGGGCTGTTGAATTCCCTCCCCAGGGATATTAGCTCATCCCCCTCCCTCCTGACCTCCCGTAAGAGAGTGAAAACATGGCTGTGTGACCAAAACTTTGGAGAACTTGTACAATAGATAGATATGAAATGATGTGCAGTGACTATTGGAATGGCCCAGATTATGCTAGAGGATTACATGATTAATTGTGAAGTTATTGTCTTAAATGTTTTTAATTGTTTTAATTATTTTATAGTACTATTTAAATGTTTAATTGTACATTGTTTTATGGCATTGTTTTATGTGTGAGCCGCCTTGAGTCCCCTCCAGAGTGTAGAAAGGCGGCGTAAAAGTGTCATAAATAAATAAATAAATAAATAAATAAATAAATAAATAAATAAATGTGTTCCTAAAGACTCATTAAATGCTCAGGTGTCTATTCTGAATAGAAACTGGGCCTGGCAGGGTAGGGGGTACTTTTATGACTCTATCTATGGGAATCTGGTTGTAGTAGTCCAAATAACTATTCCATGCTGTGGTTCAGAACATGGTCTTCATCCTTCAAGGATTCCCAGGACATTTGTCAAGGACTAGATGGCCCATGTGCTCTCTTCCAGCTCTTTGATTCTATGGAACTTACAGCATATTGCAAAAGATTCAGGGGGTGTTCTAAGGTTGTATACTCA